GACACAGCTTCCAGCCCCACACATTTGTAAAACCTCAGCGCACACTTGAAACGAGAGAAACGCAAATTTCAAAAGGCGCGGAAGTCCGTGTACTGAAGCCGCAAAGAGGCATATGACTGTAAATAATTCCAGTCTGTGCTCTCAAGGGTCGTAAGCGGGACAAACATCATATTCCCACCAGAACGCTCGTCACGACCGCGTCCAAACCGGACCTCTGTGCAGCGGGACGATGTCGTCGCTGCATTGTTCCGGGAGGATTGTTTGTGGCGCTCCACACGCCTGCCCGGATGTTGCACAAACCGGCCAAAAGCAAACGACACCGAAAAATGCGTGGTGGAGATCTATGTACACAAACAAACTGGATGCCAAAATGCACCAGAAGATGTGGAGACGTGAGAAGATGAAGCATAAAACCATCACTTGTTATCACACCGTTTCCATCGCTCAAGTCATTCCTGCATCAGCAGAGGCACAAATATTACACGTATAATACAAATATGTATAAGTTATTTGGCACTTCTATGTATTCTTCTATGCGGTAGCTACACCTTGAATTTTTACGGAGCGAGCGAAGCGAGCGTAGTCTTTCCTTGATTAACGGAAATTTCTGAGTATGAGCGGCCGGCCGGCCGTGCGGACGCTTTTGCGAGGCTAATATCTCAGCAACCACTTGACCGATTTACATGCGGTAAATTTTGTAGGGTAGCTTCATTCCTTCTACCAAGTATTGGACTATTCCCGATGCATGTGGGTGACCCCTTATGCACGTGCCACGTGCAAAACGAAGAGGTGTCAGTTTTGTAATTGTTGCAATATCTCGGTAACTACTTGGCCGATTGCGCTGAAAGTTGGCATGTAGATAGGCACCCACTAGGCACTGCATATCCATGTGCCAGAGTTGGGGTGCTGCTGCACGTGCGCACGTGCAGGGGTCGTTTCCAGATCTCGAGAACGGCTGGACCGATGGCGCTCAAATTTGGTACGCGGTTAGGGACCAGTTAGTAGGGTGCCGTGCACAAGTCAGTTTGGACCCATTTTGCACGTGCGCACGTGCAGGGTGTCGCTTCCAGATCTCGAGAACGGCTGGGCCGATTGCGCTCAAATTTGGCACATTGCTGGAGACCAGTTAGTAGGGTGCCGTGTACAAGTCAGTTAGAGGTACCCCCTCGCAATTTCGCACGTGCAATGCAAGGCCCACCCTCTCGCTCGCTCCGTTAGTCGCCCCAAAAGGCGTTAAACTGGTTTACGAAAGTAAAGGCGTTGTGATTTCATTGTCCTACCTCAGTCATTCAATTGCACTGCTTAGTTCAAACCTATGAGTGTTTTGAAGTTCATTTTAGATACGTTCTACGTATCCACGTCTTTCCGGATGGGAAACGAGTGCGCACTCGAAATCGTCACCTCCACGAACTCAGATTTCAGCAGATTTTTCGTCCACCTCTGCAGCCGAGAATAGCGTCTCAGTGGCCGGCAGCCGCCCGCGTCACCGTCGGGCCCCAAATTTGCCACAATCGGCCTAACTGGACGGTGCCGACAGTGAGTGGCGCGGCGGCGGCAAACGTGGCGGCTCTGAATGGGGGGCTCGCCGCGGCGGACCAACTGAATACGTCGGCGGTAGATTTACGGGTTGGCTTTACCTGGAGAGAGGACGTTTCCGGTGTGGCCGAGGCCAGAGGGCGGCCGGTTCTGGGACAAGCGTCTGTGGACGACTGCGCGGCCGGGAATAGGGACGAGAAAAGGCATCGGGGGCGCGATGGACGGGACAGGGTTGGTCTGAACTTAGGTCTGTGATGTCTGTGGCGGGTGGGATGGCTTGGACGACAACATTGCGACCGACACAGTCAAACTTGTCCGCCATGGTCGGAATGGGAACATCATATGTCACGCAACGTTGAGCGTTGTTCAATGTTCATACGTGGGCAGCCGGGTGGGTGGTGGACGGTGGGTAGTGGGTGGGTCTGGGCAATAGCTGACGACCTGCACTTCACAGATGTTAGTAGGTGGTAGATGAACTGACGTTGCCTACACAATGGCTGAACGCAGCGAGCGCCGACAAGTTGAGTCCTAAACTCGCCCGACCGTGCCGGCCGGGGGCGGCGTGGGGCATACCTACTGTCAACTCTGTCCATTCCGCCGACCGTCAGTTCAGTTAGCCGCAGATGACATCCGGTGGGTTAGCTCTGTCTCGGCGTGGTATCCGTCCTTTTCACCGCCGGAGGATCCTCAGAATATGGTTTATCAACGCACCCACCTGCACGGTCTGAATCGACCGTATGCCGTCCGGAACTGACGCTGATAAAGCGACGTTCAGACTGGCCCTGGATCACCCGCCGCCTCGCCGCCTCACGCAGTCAATGGATCTCTAACGGGAAATACCTTTAAAGCCCGACATTTTGAGGCAAAATTAATGTCGCCAAAGACTTACTTGAATCACTTCACATCACTTTTCATCAAAACGGGTCTCAACGAATCCGCCTTGTGACGTGGAAATGAGTCACCGTACGCACAGTCTCTCTATGGCCATTTGTCAACGCTAACCAAAGTTGACGCTAACAAGGTCAGGGGACGACAAGGCGGACGAAAACCTCATCAGAGCTCTGTCGCCGCCAAACCGCAACCCCACGTCCGTCCATCTGTCAGCGTTAGCCTAATGGAAACCCCGCCGCTCTCTGCCACACTGCCCTGTCGTCCGGGGGGTCACACGCCGCACTCTGTAGCCTGAGGCAAGTCGAGGGTCAGTGGGAGCCCCTCCCCTGCCCTCCACGGTCCTGAAAGGAGCCACCGCACCGCACATAATAACCGCGCGGTGGCCATTGTGCGTCAGTGGTAAACAGCCCCGTCATGAGCCGGTCGTGCCCCCGAGCTGGCATAGACGGAGAGACGGAGAGACGGATGGACGGACGCAAAAACGGACAGACGGACAGACGGGTGGGCAGGTGGGCAGACAGACAGACGGACAGACAGACAGACGGACATACAGACGGACAGATGGACTGGCGGACAGACGGACGGACAGACAGACGGACTGGCGGACAGACGGACAGACGGGACAGATAGACGAACGAACGGATGGACAGGCAGACGGACAGACGGACAGACGGACAGACGGACAGACGGACATACAGACAGACAGACGGACATACAGACGGACAGACGGACAGACAGACGAACATACAGACGGACAGACGAACATACAGACGGACAGACAGACTGACAGACAGATGAACACACCAACACTCGCATCGGTACGCAAAACAATCATATTTATTTACATTACCTGCTATCGTTTCTCACTGGCTATCACCCTCGGCGAGTCATGCGACGGAGCCGGCGCCGGCAGCGTATGCGCCGTTTTTGCCCGGTTTATTCGGTCTAATGACGTCGGACCGGAATTGAGCCGATGGCGTGATACGAACGCGGCGCGGGACGGCATTAACAAGCCGCACGCCGCTACTACTACCGCCGCTCTGCGCCACTTTTTGCCGCCGATCGGCGCCCGGATAGCGGGCCGGTCGCCTGAATGCGCCGCAATAGTCGCCTGAGTGCGCCGCAATGGTCGCGCGCGCGCCCGCCCGCGTCGCAGGGAAGTGTCGCGGTCGGCGCGGTGGTGTGCGGCCCCCAGCTCCGGGACTGTGGTGACCACTGTAAGATGAAGAGACCACAGTGGGACAATCGGAGATCCATGGAAGGGTTCAGATTCCTAGAACCGGTACCGGCGACCCCAGCGACCGGCATTGAGTTTTTCCTTCGAAACTGCAGTGTTTTTCTCATCAAAATTTGTTTACTCTCTGGACCCGGGCAATAATTTATGGAGTATGGCTTGATAACAATGGTAACGTGTCTGGCTTTTGTTGGGGGAATAAAAACCCGACGTGGGGGATGAGGTATTGGTTGATGGCTATCGGCGGCGGAAAAAAGGAAAACAGACGGACATTGGCCGGCCGGCGTCGCTGTACCGGCGCTCTGGGTTCTTGGCGTTCCTCCGCGTAGGCCCACCGGTATGAGGTGGTCGAGAAGCGCCTTGGACCAAAAGCACCGTGCCCGGACAGCTCAACAGTGAAAACATGCCGATCAACAGAGCAGCGGCACAACAAGATCGGATTGAACTGGAGCCGATCGCGCGCCTTGTGCGCATCAGAAATCCGATCAGAGCAGATTTGAGACGTGGAGCAAAGGAAATGAACATAAAGGCTGTTATAGAATGCAACAGAGACCCAGAAACCCAGTAAAGTATCTCCAAAAGTCGCTGCAGGCTGCTAAGAATTGAATGCTTACCTACCATACATTATAGGCAAGCATGTGTGATAGTAAAAAGTTGTTTTCATTATAGATTGACAAGTAAGTGAGCAAGGAAGTGCAAAGCGAACAGGCATACAATTAGAATAAGCCTATCTTTCGTTCCCAGTCTTCCATCCTCTACCTCGCCCACTCAGTAGTTAGCTGCAACATCCCGTTCTAGTCGATCGTACCGTCTCTCTCACCCCCATCCCCGACTGCGGGTGCAGCGCACAAGCGCCGCGCTCCTCCCCCGCATTAGGGAGTGATACATGCTCCTGTTTTCTCCTGCTTACACCACCGTGGGTGGTCGACAGACCAGCCGTCTACGGTTGCCGAGCTGAATTAATTGTCTGCAATAAGCAGTAACGATGCAGCCGGCACTGTCGGTCATAGCCGCGGGGTATTTCTATCCCTCCTCTTGGTTAAGAGAGGGTCGGCGAGGAGGGAGCGGAGAGCGGAACGGTGCGCTGGTTAGGGCGCTGAAGAGGTGAACATTGATGAGTGAATTATTTGTGGAAGGAGATATCTGACTGGCGTATGGGCTAAAATCGTCGCGCACTTTGCATTGTTTGTTTTATATGCAATGTGCGATGTTTTTCAATCATTACTGCGGCGTTGGAACCTTGATTTTTTTTTTTACTTGCATGCGAGCGACAGGTAGCCCACCAGCTAACCAGGTGAATGGTCGCCAGTTAATTTGTCCACAATTACATAGAAATTGGGCGGACAGAGTATGTATTTCAGCACGGCGTTAGTACATAAGCGACGCACGCACACTCACAGCGAGCATTTAACCTGGGCGCCCGCACTGGGGCGTGGACAAATAATGAGCGATTGGCTCAAGGTCAGTGAAACGAGACAGGTTAGATAAAAGGAAGAGACGGGAAGATAACGAGTGGTGTAGAACATGACATGTAAATTGATAGGCATTGATTGAACATATCGATAGAGAGGACAAAAATTGAGAGAGAGAGAGAGAGAGAGAGAGAGAGAGAGAGAGAGAGAGAGAGAGAGAGAGAGAGAGGGGGGGGGTGAGCTATGACAGAAAAAACAGCAATAGGAAAGAGGCGAATGATAAGAGTTTGGAAGTTTTAGCTGTTAATATCACAGACAATGGTGAATGGCACGCCAAATTAGCCGGCAGGACGAACAAGGGACATCGCGAACTGACAGCATCCTTTTCGGCGCACACACAAACACACAAACACATAAACACACCTAAATCGGAGTCTGACGCAACAAACACCTAACGTCCGGGGTTACATCCGAATGGCACCGGTCCGAGCTGCTCTGATCCCGGGCGCACGTGGCTGCAGCTCGCCAGCGGCTTATCCAGAATCGCTCCGCTGAATCGCGCGCTATATTGGTAGAAACTGACTGGAAGCTAACACTCGGGGAATGCCCACGCCTTCAGAAATAAACAGTGATAAAGGGAGGACACTGGTCCTTGAGGCCACTGTTTGCAAACACACCGACATATAGAGCTGTCATTTTGAAATATCGTTCTGGTAGTGGAGATCTATCATGCGAACCAGCAGCACCGTTGAGCAGGGGCAGGCTGGCGGGGTGCAGAATGGAATAATCGCCGGCTCAGTTTTCATATCATTCAACGAACAATCATCTGTAAAAGACATTAATAAAATGCAAAATGCGATGGACATTAGTGTCACTGTGGTGCCCAAACCTGGCTGTTGTTGCTTTAGGTATCAACTAGATAAAAAAGACTTGTGAGTGTGATCATAAGACCTTGCTGACGTCTAATGTCACCTAATCAGTACAAAACTCACGTGACACGATACAAACAACAGACGCAATGACACATCCTAAGTCACTAACTAGCATAAGAAACACTTTACAATCATAATCATATTTCACTGTGCAATCGCTCGTCAATCCCGTTCAGTGGCGTCATTAGTGTTTGTCATTTACAGAGCAGCCCTGGAAGCTGCAGTTTGGCACGATACAATGCTGAAGTTGGACTCGCAACCAATCATTCACGTGAAATATAAAACACTGACGACTTGAACAAACATTAACCTATATGCACGGCGTACCATATGTTGCACTTCTAGTCTAATAAACGCTAGACTTAGGGGAACAAAGACGCATGCAGGGTCGCTCACTCATGAGGAACGTCACTATGACGTAAGCACTGTATCTGCGGATTGCTTGTAGTTCGTAAGTCTGTCGCAGTCCTCTCGCTTCCACACAACTGCACTCACGCAGTCGCCACGAGCACCAAATCCCGTCTCGGTCCAAGCACGGAGCTGCACTGTTCACTTCCACCGACCTTGATGACGTCATTTTTACGTCACCAATCAGACGACGCTCTCGCGCCGGTCGGCCATGAGCGGCGCGGCCTCCTCCAGGGTGGAGGTGTCGGAGTGACCCGAGTGAGAGTGAGCCGTGTCATACCGACACTCAGACGCATCGCTGCTGCACGACCTCTGGCCGGACTCCCTCGGCAGGCTGAAGTAGGGGCCCGCGTACGCCGGCTGCCGGGGCAGAGATACAGTCAGTGACGTCAGAGGCCCGGCGGCCAATCACACGCCGCCGGCAAGGCCGACGCCTGCCGGATGCTGTGCCGGCGTACAGCTGAGCGCTGCGGCACAGTCCGCAGGCAGGTGGCTGCCGAACGGATGGAACGACGGACGACTGACTGATATGCTGGACGTTTAATTATACCGAGATGATGAGATGATTCTACGGTATGAAATATGAATAGATTAAATAAAATCACGGGATTTTATGTTAGCCTAATTCAATAACATAAAATAATTTCGTTATTTCACTACTCTAATTAAAATGAATGTCATTTTGCCTTCTTTTGCTAAATTTGAATGCTTTAAACAATAGCCGAATAAATGACCATCTATGTTAGCAGCGGCACAAATCTTTTGAACCAATGCTGCAGTTTTTCTTTTCTTTAAAGCAGTTACCGCCACACAAAGGCTCAGCAAGGCGTCAACAAAAGCCGCTGTCACACGCGTGGGAAAACAACCAACTTTTTCTCAAAGCCTGTCTGAACTTGCCGAACCGTCAGCAGACTCTGGCCTGATCCTATAAACAGGACGGAGAACAGGGCGCATGTGCAACAGGCAGCGGGACTATTTCGTCCAGCTGATAGAGACAAATATCGAGGCACAATGGCCATCAGAAGTGAGCCTTTCAGAAGCGACTGCCGGAAGGCGCCTTCGATTTCACTCTGAGAGCTGCTCGATCGGGTTCTACATTCTCGACGCGTTCTCAATATTTCTGAGCTTAGAACTGAGGGTATTATACCTATGATATGGTTGTGTCCAACATTACTTTGCGTGATACCATGAAAATATGTAAAACGAAACAAATACCAAGTCTCTTTGCAAACTTCATTCACTAAACGCAAAAAGGAAGTTCAAGTTAAATGTTTCTCACTGGCATGTGGGTTGGCTAAATGGCATATGTAGCTTCGTGCACAGAAAAAACGGACAAACAATCAATGGACAATCGGCATGAAGTTGCTGACATTTGGCTCACCATTTTCGGGGAGGGAACTCGGGTGTACTCTCCGCGCCCCAGGGTACAGTAGGTCGAGTTGGGAGGCGGTGAACGCGAGCAGAACTTGCGCGGCAGGTCCAGAGGAGGGCGGTTGATGAGCCGCTCGGCCATGTAGCGCTCTTCCGGGTCATCGATGTCATCTGGCCGGGCACAAAGGTCAGGTCAGACGGCACAGGGAACGACACCCGGAACACACCAGACAGAGGCGGCGAATACAACTTAGAAATGTCAGTTAGACAATGCTGTCTAGGACTAGAGAACAACAATAGCACTGTGTTTTGTAGACAACCTAAAGCATGACATGCCATTGCTCGAGGATTAACAAGAGGTGATAATGCATTTGCACTGTAGGGCAAATCACAAAACGCATGCGATTGGACTGAAAACCTCGCGCTATTTTTCTTCGGCGAGGTAGGCCACCCGCAGTACATTCGTGCTTGCGGTACAGTCTACCTATCTTGAAGCCTACGAGCCATGGCTTTCTTTAGCACAAAGCGGAAAAAGATCGCATCACAATCAAGCAATCCAAACAAGCATAATGCCACCATAGGACCATTCAACTCACGGCACATCCTTTGACCTATCCGTGACCTCACACCTTGACCTCACGACTCACCGATTTTGACGGTGAGCAGGTCGGGGTTGTTGGCCGGGATGTGACATGTTGCCGAGCCGGGGGCTGCCTTCTCAGGCGGTGCCGGTGCCGGGTACCCCTCCTTCGCATCATTGTGTCCTCGGAGGCGCATTGTGACAACAATGGCGATGGCGAGGAGTACCAGAGTGCCGACGATCCCGATGAGAATGCCCAGGATCGGTGTCATCCGAAACAGGGAGCCCAGAGGGCCGGCTGGTGGAAGGGAAACACAGCCGTTTGTGAGAGATGTGGGAGGGAGAGAGAGAGAGAGAGAGAGAGAGAGAGAGAGAGAGAGAGAGAGAGAGAGAGAGAGAGAGAGAGAGAGAGAGAGAGAGAGAGAGAGAGAGAGTCGTAGCTCTCAGTGAGTGACTGTAGGCGCATAATGAGCTATTGCGCGGTGGTGCACAAAAGATCGCGGATCGTCGGTTTGAAATTTGAATGTCAATTCCTGACATTTTGGACATATAAAGCGCCATGAGCTGGTGCGGTACCTGATAAGAATAACATATTATCGCGTCTCCTTATTACCGTATTATGCATCCGCGAGGAGCTTTCAAGATAAAAGAGCAAAAGCACCATAGGTCGTAGCATATGATGACAACATTGCATGACATCAACTTTAATCTCATTCTCAAGAAAAGTGAGGAGACCGCAAGCACGCTAATCGTTGCAGACAGCGACGCCATAGATCCGTCGTCCATCCGACGTGAGTCGCCCGTCAATATCATGTCCCTGACGCCGTCGATACAGCCTGCCGGCGTCGGTAGCGTCGCGACGTGTGTGATTCCGAGACGGCCGCCGTCATATCGACCCGGCCAGCCATCATCACGCGATTACTTAGAGGAGTGGGGCGCAGCCAATCGTACTACATTGTCATGTCACATTACGGCCGGACGCCGGCATCACCGCGCTGGCACTAATCAGAAACCGGCCGGGAAATAGGTGGCCGCTGACAGGAGTTTCTAATCACGGCACTTTTATCCGCCGAGACAAAAGGAATTAGTAATTACCGTTTTCTATATGTGATTCTCGTAACGTTTATTCTTTTGTAGGTCGACTCTTTTGCGACTAAAATGTTATTGCTTCCGAGAGGTTATTAACAATAAATGCAATACGCAGCTATGATTGCTATAAATCCATAGAGACCAGAAAAATACGCAGAAAAATAAAAACCAGTATAACGCCTTTTGGGGCGACTAACGGAGCGAGCGAGAGGGTGAGCCTTGCACGTGCGAAATTTCGAGGGGGTACCTCCAGCTGACTTGTGCACGGCACCCTACTAACCGGTCTCTAGCGATGTGCCAAATTTGAGCACAATCGGCCCAGCCGTTCTCGAGATCTGGAAGCGGTACCCTGCACGTGCGCACGTGCAAAATGGGTCCCAACTGACTTGTGCACGGCACCCTACTAACTGCTCCGTAACCGTGTGCCAAATTTGAGCGCAATCGGTCCAGCCGTTCTCGAGATCTGGAATCGACCCCTGCACGTGCGCACGTGCAGCAGCACCCCAACTCTGGCACATGGATATGCATTGCCTAGTGAGTGCCTACCTACATGCCAACTTTCAGCGCAATCGGCCAAGTAGTTACCGAGATATTGCAACAATTGCAAAAGTGACACCTCTTCGTTTTGCACGTGGCACGTGCATAAGGGGTCACCCACATGCATCGGGAATAGCCCAATACTTGGTAGAAGAAATGAAGCTACCCTACAAAAATTACCGCATGTAAATCGGTCAAGTGGTTGCTGAGATATAAGCGTCGTAAAAGCGTGACCACGGCCGGCCGGCCGGCCGGCCGCTCATACTCAGAAATTTCCGTTAATCTAAGGAAAGACTACGCTCGCTTCGCTCGCTCCGTAATCACACTCCTGACCAACACCAGTGAAACGATGCCGACCCCAGGCCGATCTGGCAGCCCTGTCCATCTGTTAACACTCACTCATTTCACCCGTCTCGGCAGGTGTGGTGAGTGTAGCCACTTGTAGTCTCTGTAGGCGGCCACGCCCTCGGTCGTTATAGGCATACATGGTGACGGTATAGTTGCGTCCCTCCTGCAGGTCACTTATGAAAAACCTGTCGAGGTCAAACTCGGGTCAAACACGGGTCAAATGTAAAAACTGTCGAGGTCAAACTCGGGTCAATGATCGGTGGTCGGTGGCTCGTCGGACTGTTGGCGCCAAGTGGAGGCTGCATTTTATCGGGAGGTGTAGATTACGAAGTTGATGTTGATGATGATCGGAGTTCCATGTTATTAAGTTGTTGGAAGTCGATGGATTTCAGTATCGTTTGATTGCACATCGGCAATCAAACTTTGTGATTCTATATTGGTGTTAGGAGTGGGTGACTTCACTGGAAGCTTCAGTAATTCACTCTTAGTAGGTAGGTATAGTCGTTACAATAAAGAGTGATGCGACTGAAATCAACAAACATTACACTATTCAACCAAAATGGTTTTATTTAGTCCCTGAACAAACGCGGATAAACTTTGATACGAGACACACCGATAAAATGATGAGCGTTCTATGTTTATGCCACCATTCTAGGCGGCATCACATCAACTGAAGGAGATGGAACCGGAGCCGGGTGTATTGATTTGTTGCTCAGTGACCCGGCAACTGTAACGCCCACTTCAATTTAAGCGCAAGCGAGTCTGGGAGATCAGATCGATTCACGAGAATCACACGAAATTAATCAAGTGGTCCTTTACTGTGAGACTGTTGATATCAAACAATAGATCGCGAACAACAATGCTGGTCATTTTGATCCAGACTGTTGACTGTTGTTCACAATAAGAGCTTGTTTTCATTGCTAGTTTTTATTGGAAGTGCAAAGAAAGGTTCTTTGTTCTTTCCACCAAAATGTACGAAAAAAATGATAAAGCGAAAGTACGACCGCGTGATAATATGAACGCTATCAAAATTGTTTCTTTTTTGTAATCAAACGTATCCACAGAATACGTGGTGATTTATGAGTATCCTCGTTTTAAACTTTCTACCTATTCAAATTACAAGTAAGAACCTCAAAAAATTTACAAACCTTACAATTTACCACATCTCACAACAGTCCAAGTATTTATCATCACAATACAGCTGTCAGTAACCGCCCGTCAACTGAACGAGGGTGCTAGTGTCCGTCCCAGTTTCCTCCCCTCTCCCGCGGGATTTCTCCCGGGTGGGCCAGTCCTCAGTGCCGTCGCCAGCCATCGTCGCTGCTCGTCACCAGTGCGCCGTTTTTGTCACCGACGAACCGACTGGCGCCCCGGGCCGACCGGGGAGCGCTCTATATCACTGTCTGGTGGCGTCGACTCACCATCACTGATGTCGTGACGGCTGCTCCCACCCCGCCCTTGAACGGGGAGGAGGCGGCAAAGAGGCGGTGGGGATGGAGGCAGGGGCGGCAGAGAAGAGAGAGAGAGAGAGAGAGAGAGAGAGAGAGAGAGAGAGAGAGAGAGGGAGGGAGAGAGAGAGAGTGAAAGAGAGGGAGAGAGAGAGAGAGGGAGAGAGAGAGAGAGAGAGAGAGAGAGAGAGAGAGAGAGAGAGAGAGAGAGAGAGAGAGAGAGAGAGAGAGAGAGAGAGAGAGAGAGAAGAGAGAGAGAGAGAGAGGGGGAGCAGCGAGATTGGCGGCGGCGGTCGGGACAGAAGAGGAAAGAGCAACGAACGGTCCGGGGGGGGGGGGGGGGGCAGAGTGCGACTGAACGACGCATTTGCATACGGAGAAGAGGGAGATGACGGCAGAGCGGAATAGATAAGTGAAACGGAGGCAGAGGGACGGAGGCACTCAGCCGTGCAATAAAATGCCGAAATGGAATAAGAGCACGGGCTAGATAGATGTGATTTAAGAGTGACGTCATCCATGAAGAAAAAAGCAATAGATGATCATCACACACAAAAATCAGAGGAGCCGCAAATGAATCAGATGAAACCTAGACTTACCCATATTTTCCTGTTTTTTCTTTCTTTCTTTTTTTGCTGATTACTAAACCGTCAACTTGTCAACTGATTACAGTCCCTCCATTCCCCACCCTCACCTCATCCCACCTCCCGCGGCTGCGGACTGACCTGGGAAGAGCCGAGCTGCGGTTGGCCACCATCTCCTGAGTGACCGAGTCACGGACCATCACCGTGAACCACTGCTGCAGGCCGCCGTGAAAGCCCGCCTGGCAGGCCGTCTCCAGGCTGGCCGTGGTCCGGTTCAGGACGGAACAGTTGTGCAGAGGGCCGGGACGCTCTGTGCAGGTCACACGGGGCGGGTGTCAGTCCACGAGCTGCTGTGAAAAGTGTGCTGGTGGTTCGTCCGTAACGCATAACACGCTGCCCGTAACCGTAACCGTTAGTGTCACTGCTTTGCTGGACACGCAAACAAACTGCTGGCTTTAGAACATGGTGTTGTTGCCATTATAATATGCTTGGTATGCATGGTATTTGAAAATTTCTTCATAAGTATCGTGCTACTGTCAAAACATACTTGCATTGAGGCCTTGTACGGAGAATAACAGGTATAAGCCGTTATAAACAATAGCATGCAACGTTCACAATCCACATGTTATCGGGACATCAAAAATTTGCGAACAGACTTAACTTCCCAAAATTAATGTTTGTGTTTTCCTTCGTGCTGATTAAGCTTCTGTAGTTCCTTAGTTACATTCGTTGATTTTATCCCCACGGTACCTCAGCTGCTCAGCACCATTATGGTTTATACCACAATACCTCAGCCTGGGCAGCACTCTCCCTCAGCTCATAAATACCTGAGAGAAGATGTGCCCCTGCACAAATCTGGCGCATCAACAGCTAAATGTACCGATACATAATGTAGAGATGATACACGGCAGTAATAAATTGCAGAGATCGTACATTTTCAACTGCGATAATGACGTTAAGGCGCGAACGTCTGATTGCCTTCGTTCCACGCGTTGACGAATCAAGAGTTATCATCACGCAGAAAGTCGTTTTCGGAATGGATATTTCGGAGAAGACCGAAAATAGTGGCACCATTTGGAAATATCCTAGCCTGCCCGTATGTAAATTATCAGAATCATAGCGTAGAAAATGTACGAATGAAAGATTAAATGAAATTAGAGAAGGGTAGCTTCACTTCGCCGTTTTCACTTTATTTATTAGCCGTTGTAGTTAAAGCAATATGCATTTACGTTCAAGAAATGCTTATCCGGACACATTTGTTGCTGCCACGGCACAGCCAGCCCTGAAACCTTTTTTATGCGTTATACTGACCTGGGCGGTCACCGTGAATTCTTTTCTTTTATAATTTATATATTGTCCTTTTCTTTCATGATTAAGAGCCGCCTCTTTCTTGCCCTGTGACGGACACAAAAACATCCAACCCTCTCCCTGCTGGATGCACTTTTGCCATGACCTTGACTGACCCGACAGTCTCCCACTCTCCTGTTCCTGAACGCGCCCCTGCCGTGACCCGACAGTCTCCCACCTTCCCGTTCCTAAACGCACCCCTGCCGTGACCCGGCAGTCTCCCAATTTCCCATTCCTGACCGCACCTCTGCAGTGACCGGCAACTGACCCGGCAGTCTCCCACCCTCCCGTTCCTGACCGCGCCCCTGCCATGACCGGCGACTGACCCGGCTGTCTCCCAATTTCCCATTCCTGACCGCGCCTCTGCCGTGACCGACGACTGACCTGCGAGCACGAGCTGGATGCGGCAAGGCTCCTTCTGCCGACCCAGCAGGTTATCCGCCCAGCAGAGTAGGGTGCCGAAGTCGTGATGAGACCTCGGTGTAAAGCTGACAGTGCTGGTCGGGCCGGCACTAGTGACCCGGCCCTCAGGGACGTCAGACACGGCGCCTGCGGACAAACGGGCGGGTCACAACCGACCGGGGGAGGGGCTGGACATAATGAACTTGGAGAAACGGACAGTAATTTCACTTAAACAAAGATTACATTCGTGCTTGGTGGCATGGATTCGAGTTAAAACGTTGCATGACAAAGGCCTTCAGTGAATAAAAAGTGGTCTCATTGGCCGCCGTTTGGACAGGGCCAGTTAGGTCGGAGCCGGAATGACCGGCGTAACATTCGTCTCGGTCGGCCGTCCCACCATCGGTCTCGAGTGACCGCTCCCGGACCGCTGCACGGGACGTTATTCCTCTCTGCAGAGTACCGGCCGTGACGTTATGCGGCAGCGCACCGTCAAATAGTTCACCCGAGTCGCAGTGACCTCGACCTCCTTCCGCGATCGCTCACAGTGCACCGATACGCGACAGATCGCTATCGTGAGAGTGAAGGGCGGCCGAGTTTCAGATCAAGAGCGCATAAATCACCAGCTTGCTGCGAGAAGAGTGATAGGCGCGATACCTAAATGAATCTCTGATCGAGGACATGCAGAGAAAATGGTAAAAACTGATTTGAGATTTCTACTGGTAGCCACGCCGAGACACTGATTACCCCTTCCGTGAGATGGTTTGATACTAGTAACCGATGGGCATGGATATCGGTTCGACAAAAACTTCGGCATGTCACACGTCAGGCTGGTCGGGAGGATAACTAGCACCTAGTGACACCGAGCAACAAAAACTCCCTAGAAATTGACCACTGCGATCACCCTCGTGTCGACCCTCGAGTGGTAACTAACACGGTAGGCTGAGAGAGGTCAGCCTGCGGCGACCCAATGACGTCATAAAGTGCTCTAATGCCAGCTGACGACGGCGACGCTAGATGACTTCCGGCTGCTCGCTGATGGCCTGTGATGTTGCAGAGATTCCAGAGAGAAAGGCGACGACCTTCCACTGCAGGGCGCTGCTGCATTGGGGCGGCTATTTCGAGAGCGCAGCTGTTAAATTCATTAGGTGGGTACTGGGCGCGGTTGTCGCGCAAGCTGCCAGACATGGGTGCCGACTAGGGAGCCAAATGAGCCGCCTCGTATGGCACAACGTTTGGCGGCTCGATACGACATGGGTTGGTAGAAAAACACGTTTTGATACCAGGCCACTGAGTGACATATTCCGTACCGCGTTGCACAACTGGATCTAAACTCGTCACAATAACTAACGAAAGATTCCCTCGGCTAGAAATCTCGCTGCATATCTAGCTAATATCATCATCCAAGACATCATTCCGTTGATGATCTGCCACCCATACATCATCGCTATTGATCGCGTCTGCCTAGATTAGGCACTCAAGACGGAGAGAAAAACAGTGACGGAGCTAGCAACAACAAACGATTCAGCATCCGCCATGACAGAAAACCGGTCGCCGAAGACAATTGATCTCAGCGACTGAGACATGATCTAACCATTCCAGACCGGTCCCTGTTGAACCAGTGGTGCCAGGAATCAACCGGCTAGATTTGTGAGTGCACCTGAACTCGTGTCAGGTGAACGCCCGTTGCGCTACAAGACCTCTCAGTTCTCTTCATCGGGTCACTGACGCCGGAAGTAAAAAGTGTGCGTATGTGTGTCTGTCTGTGTGTGTGGATGTGTGTGCAGCTGCCGGACAAGTTTTGGCCGTTGTCTGGGGGAGCGACTTACAACTGCAGTAATCCGAGAAGCCGCGAAAAATCGACCCACTCCTTAGAATGTCACGATACATCTGCGCGTAACGTGAACGGTGGCTTTGAATGGTGTAAAAACGACGCGGAATTCAGCCCGCTCAGTGGACTCCGCTGAACTGAAGCAGATATAATGAGGGCATTTCTCAGCCGAGACTGAAAGAGAGAGGGAGACAGAGAGGAGAGAGAGAGAGAGAGAGAGAGAGAGAGGGGGGGGATAGAAAGAGCTCAGAGGAGGGGAAAGATGCATTTGCATTTGGAGACAATGCCATCAAATAAATGTACTAAGTGCATACGGGAATCAGTCATTCATGATAATGGAGCAGGCTTAAAGACCAAAGGATGCTTGTGACTTCTTACAAAGAAATGGATAAGATTCGTATGGCAGTTGCTCCATGTGCCTAGCGGCTTTGACTCATTTAAAAGCCCATGCAGACGAAGACTGTCGCAGCCAGCATCATTTCTCGTCAGCAGACGTTGTACTGATTTATTGGATGTCACATCGGGAACGTAAAATTATAATTTTTAATGGACTTTGAGTGGGTGTCCGGCTTCCAGCCTCGCTGCAGATGACTAGAAGTCAGATGACTGCCCAGTTATAAATGGGAAATACGCTGACCAAAACTCGACCGTTTCCCTGCATACAGATATTCACAATGGAAGCGGCCGTATGAGACGGCGACATAAGCGGATGACCTTAAATCTCCCGTTCAACCTTTGCGTACTAAATGAAGGAACAAAAGGCAGGGGTGCAGACTATCTCACCCGGCTCTAACTCGGAAAGAGGCGGTGAGCAGCTCTTCACTATTCAGTAGGCCTGTTGTAAGTAGCATTAAGGAGCTGTAAAACTGTCAAATATCTCCACGGGTAGTACGCGCTTTGGAAAGGTCACGGGGCAGATTGCAAGTATCTCGCCTACCTTGGTGGCTTGCTGGAAAGGCCTCGCGCTCGAATGAATATCAATGAGGTATTTTACATGAGAACTGGACACCAACGCACACTTGTCAAAGATGAAGGCACGCTACCGCATTGGGTTGTAGAACAGCCCACGCTGCCGAACGGATCGGGAAGCGATTGTAAATGTGCAAAGACGTATAGTCCAGTGCAAAAACGCGTGTCAAAAATCAGCCCACACTGCTGTCTTGCAACTGTGCGGGATATTATTGCTTCTGGACAAAAGCCATCCTCCTGCAGCAGCTGTGGGAACGGTAAGACGAAGCGGTGCTGCATAAAAATAACCGAATAAGTAAAAACACGCAATAGATTAGAGCCACTTACATATTGTTGTTCTTCAGAAGGAGGTGCATATTTGTTTTTAAACCAACTTTAAATAAGCCTGAACCCCGCACGCCACGCGAGCACACGCGCACCCCACCCGGCCAGCGCTGCCTGCGTTCCTTGTTCGCGACCATACATCACTACTGATCCTCTCAGTGGCGGGTATGGTCTGTCCTAAGGCAGGGTTTCATTTCAATATTTCATCTGGTCCGCAGCAGTCTTATATCATTTTCAAAATTAAGCTTCAACGCACAGTTAAGCCAGTCATGCGTTACCACAAAACTTGCAAGGAAATGTAAAAATTTTGATGACAAAGAACTCAGCTGAAATTTTACCGGCGCTAAAATGGTGGCTTCATCCGACTAAAAAAGCACATAAAATATTATAACGATCATTTGACCAGCCAAAATAAGCATTCTTCTTACAAAGGATTTGTTCAATTGGAAGCAATGTGATTCTCAGCACTCCCAAGCCCTGTATGTTGTTGGTTGTAGGTTGTAGTGTGCTGTAGGTTGTGAACAGGCTGAAGTGTGCCTCAGGTGTAGGTGGTGTGTGTTCTCAGTGGGTGCATCCCCGTCACTCACCTGACACGTTTAGCGCCCACGTGTAGCGGAACGGCTCCGGATTGGCCGACACGCTGCACGTGACATTGACCGTCTCGCCCCGGGCGGCCTGCACCGTCTCCGTCCCGTCAGACGCACAGACGGGCAACACTGGAAAATAGCAGAGGTCACGGTCAAATGCGGGGAGGGCATACGGAGGTTCGGCTCAGCATACTTCACACTCCACACACCACGGCCGTGGATCCCAAAGCCATTTGGTCGGTCTTCAAGGAAAGCAAGTTTGAGTGCATCTTAGGGTCATCACCGTTCCGTGCTTCTATTCTCAGGATACTGATATCCTTCTCCTCCACGCCGCAACCCCCCTCCGGGCTGGACAGGCAACTTTATCTCATGCGGGCTGCTCCCTTGGAGCGGCACCGCTGCTCCCGAGGGAGCGCACCCCGTAGCCGGGTGCAGTGAGTGCCTTGGGGCTGGGTGGCCTGTCCTCTGGATGGGCTCAGCCCCGGCGACTCACTAGGGTGCCTGCCCAGACCAATGTCTCCCCCTAATTCCTATCATCCTTCCGGCTCTGCAATGGTCTTGTCAGACCGAAAGGGCCTAACCCAAAAAAAGAAAGACAAGAAAAAACATCTTAGGGTGGGGAATACTAGTCGCGGAAACGAGGCGCGGAGAGCCGAATTGGCATTACTGCATTTTAGGGGGCGGAGAAGACCATAACACCACTACGAAATGGTATGTGAAGGTCACTTGAAATGAGAGCGGTGTTTTCATGTTTTATGGAACGCCCTGTTAATGTGCTATATTCCCATTAGATGGTAGATTACAGTAAGTGATAAATGACCCGGCGCGAGGACAAGCAAGGTCTTCGCGAATCCTTAGTGTAATTACTATATTTTATGACAGACAATAACCGGCCGCTTAATGTGACCAAATATGTCTCGCTTTGAATCACGAGCACGTCCTTTGAGTTGATAGGCACATCAATTACAACCGATAATAGGCCTGGTTAGAGTAATCATTGGAGCGTTCTCAGTCGGCGATAAGCAGTAAAACCGGCTTTATGCACCCCCTGACTGTTGACAGCTATCCACTGGCGGTGAAGTGTTGCATCGCCCTTCATCCCTCCCCTATCCTGTCGGAGGCAGCTCCAGCCGGTGCACCCGTGCCGGCGCTTTGTTTAGTCGCTCCGTATCCCGCCGTGGCTGAGCCTCGCCGCCAGCGGAGCGGAAGGCAGATATGAAGCCGGCGGGCCGCCTGCCTCGCCGTCGGCACAGCGGCTGCCCTCAGACCGGCCGATTCATCTGCATTCGTGCGGCAGCCGCGCGCCTCCACTGACAGCCAGGGAAGGCGGACCAGAGAGAGGCCAGACGAAACAGCTCGGTAGAAACCGAGAGCGCGGCACCAAGTTACTGCTGAGTTCGATAGTGAAAGGTCATCGGCGCGACGCTCTCCCATGTGTAACAACTGTGGTGATCCCGTTGGGACGCGATCGGAATATAATTGATATATCCTGCCAGTGATGACAGTTTCTCTTGATCACAAACTCCTGAGGGTTTTCAATATTCAGAGCCGCTCTGTTCCTCTGACTTATTCGAGCTCTGCCAGACGCTGCCACCCGAGTACATACACTTTACATGTTTAATGTCACTTCATCCGAACCGCCGTATCTTGTGTCGACCGCCGACGCCGAGCCGGTATCAAATGCACCTTGGCGACAGCACTGGGGTCTTGGGAGACATCGCCACGTGCGACCGCTGATCTGCCATTCTCCGGACGCTGCACCGCGGCGCGCCGGTCATGTCAAGAACCTCCCTATCCGACCTGCCACGGGAAGTGGGCGATCAGCCACGAGCGGCGCGGCGGTCGTCGCGGTCGGGCACGGTCGATGATTTAGTGGCCGCGTGTCATTTGTAACGCGTTGAGCGGCGCCCGGAGACGGCTAATGTGCGTAGCCAGGTGCGCGGCGTCCGCAGGCGGTGCCACTAATTATCACCGTCATCGGGCCGGCGTCATCGGCCAAGTGGAATAACGAGCGCGTCATTGGCCGGCGGCGACGCGCCATCGGCAGCCGGGGCTTTACAGGGACTCCTGGACAGGTAGCATGGTCCGCTGGTCAAACGGCGGGCACGTCCGCATGGAAACGATACCACTGAAGTGCGCATGTTGAGGAGGGTCTGCTTGACCATGAATCAATAGCCGTAGGTACTAGTCCCGGAAGGCAATGAATCACTCGGTCGATTGGCGATAGGTGGTAGTTCGATTGCAATTGCGCCGGTATGTGCTCACGTTTATTTTACGTGCCTTCTGCCGAGCCCTCAATAAAATCGGATCATGAAAACGTGATGTACCAATTTCCTCCGCACGTAATAAGAGAGCGGTTTGGCCGGCACGCTGCACACCTCGGCGTTAACCCGCGCCCTGGTGGGGTCTGTTTATAACGCGACCTGGTGGTGGGGGGGGGCTATTTTTTGCCCCCCCCCCTCGTATCTCCGAAACTACTTGACGGATCCTCAAAATTCAAACGGCGTTCGAAAGGCCTGTCAAATTTGTCGAAGGAAACCAAATTTCATTGACCTCGGGGTCACCGATGACGTCACAGGTCAGGTCAAAGATGACAAGTTTCACCGTTCACGGGTCATCTAGGGAATGCGCTATAACACCGAAGAAAACGCATTTTGTCGAGAATCAGCGATAGGGCGTCAGTTGCCTAGTACATATGTTGCTATAAGAGGTCACTGACAATACCAGGTCAGGTCACCAAGGGTCAGAGCCCAGAGGTCAGGTCACATGAACCTAACATTAGGTACTTAGGTTGTGCGATGCATGTTTTATGGCCAATTTTTCATTTCCAACTCAATGGTGTTGGTTATAAGACTATCAGGTACGGCTTAGGTCACTTTCTGGTGAAGGTCAGGTCAAGGTCAGGTCAAGAAAGGTCAAATTTTAAAGTTGATAGTTTTGCATAAAATGGGTATTGATTCGATGCAGCTTGTCACGGGGAGTCTAATGGTGGTCTTTGTTTTGCGCTACGGGGTCTAGAATTGCTAAAAATTGAGTTTGAAAATTTGACGTCATCAATTTTGAACAGTTTTTTCGCTATAACTTCGCCAAAAAATGAGGTATCAATCTCAAATTTGGTATGTGGATAGAAGGCGGTAAGGACTATCATATATATTCCGTTTTTTGCGAAACTCCAAAAACTTTTTGGATTTTTCGGTTATTATATTCAAAACATCTATTTTTTAATTTTTGGGGTCAAAATCCAAAAAAATTCAAAAATCCGAGATAACAGTTTTGTAGCCCTGTCAATTTTACATCTTTTATGTATTTATCGTTTTTCTGTATTTGCAAAGCTATAGGCCTGACAGCTCTTCCCGCGAAACCCTTTTTTTGGTCGAAAACGGCAGAACATGACGTCACTCTGACGTCATTTCCAGCCAACCTATCATAGCCTTTGGAAAAAATTTTGGTCACGATGTGTAAAATTGATGTCCGAGAGGGTACTGAAAGTTTGGTGGCGATCGGCGCAGCGGTTCTGGAGATATATCGAAAAGTCTGGAGGGGGGGCAAAAAATAGCCCCCCCCCCACCAGGGCGCGGGTTAAGTGCCGACATTAGCCCTCTGCGCGGTGTGCCGATATCGCTCCCAAGGTATCCGCTGCTCGCAAAAACAGGCCACGCATCCGCCAAACTTTTAGCCCCGTGTGCCTCCAACGGACCGATAGCATCATCCGGCGGTTTTTATAGTCCTCGAACCGATCTCTCGACCTCTTTGTCCTAGTGCGTGTCCACAGGATAAACTAAATCAGACCTAACTAAATGGACGCTACCACAATCTCACTGATGACAAAAAGGAGACCCGGCCATCCAGAGGGAACAAATACCAGAGGCGCACTTACAATCGATGGAGATAAGACTTGGCTAAACCGCTCCCGTTCACCGATATAAGGCTCGATTGAAATATAAAATGTCACTTCCAAGTCACGTAATGCCGTCGCCGTTTCTCTAACATTACCGGCGACTGATGACGTCATAAAACACTTATGACCCTGTTCTGTTAGGTAAGTTGAAATTGACTGACCTTGCACGTCGAGTGTGGTGTAGTTGCTCTCGGCCGTTCCCTCAGCGTTGGTGGCCTCACAGCTGTACTGACCACTTGCTTTGGTAGTGACCGAACGCAGCACCAGCGATCCGTTTGAGATGTCCACAGAAAGGTGCGGGAAGAGCCCAATCGGCTTTGACTGCGCCCAGAGGTCATCGGAGGTCAGTGGGGGTCAGGGGAGATCAAAGGTCAGAGGCAGTCAGGAAAGGTCAGGGAGGTCATAGGTAGTCAGCAATGAACAGTAAAAGTGAGTAAGAGACGGTGGAGAGCGGTGAAGATCAGAAGAGCTCTGCATAGGCAGCTGAGGTCATTTGAGATCAGAAGAAATCAGAAGAGGTCAGAAGGGATCAGAAGAGGTCAGAGGAGATCAAAATAGATCAGAAAAGAGCAGAATAGAGATCAGAATAGAGACAGAAGGTCATTACCCAGGTCAACGAAAATCAGCGGCGATCAGCAGATCAGATATCAGTGGATTAGATTAGCTACGCGAGATAAGGAGAGATAGTGACTTTGGGGAGAGGTCAGCAAAGGTCACTCGATCATCTATGAGCCGGGTACGCTAGTGCGACAGTGCAGGTCCGATGGTAATGCACGGCACCCCGCTACACTAAAGGTCGTCGAGCTAGCACCTCCCAGGAAAATGTCGCGCCACACCGGCCGGCAACCGGCTCCGCTGCGACACTATTACAGCGCCAGGTAATGTTTCCTTATTGCTAATGGCAGTTATCGATGAGTGCGAAACCATGTACATTACATTTTCCATTAAATAAAGTTAAGATAGGAACAGTTTTAATTATCAAATTAGATAGTTTCGCACAGGGCTAAGTAGAAGCAGCGGACTATATGATGTAAAACAGTAAGCACATGAGCAATATAGCAAACAATATAACAGTTTTCAATATCCGGTGGACTGTACCTGGAATTTCCAGCGGATGTCGGTGACCGGAGGGTCAGCTCTGACGTCACACTTCATGAAGACGTCATCCCCCTGACGGGTGCCGCGCTCCTGGAGTCGTGACCAGAGCCGCAGGGTCGGCCGGGGCTTGTCTGCCGGCGGACGGACGGCAGAAACAGTGACGTCATCAGCTCGGCATAGATCGGGGAATAAAGTTGGCAAGAGCTGGGTTGTTTATGATAGATAGCTGTTGTTTCAGCTGACCACAATGCAGATAAATATTAGAATAGAAATTGAAGAAGTGCTGTGAAATTATGACCGAATTAAGACGGATAATTTTATTCGGAATGTGCACACAGTAGGTATATTTTAAGTAAGGTATAAATATCAAACCTCAACCTTCCACTTCCGTTTCTCAGCCAAAATATTTATCTCCAGCACCGTGTATAATGTGCGACAAGGGCAATGTCATCAGCTCTGAGCCCGCTCCCGGTGAATGCCGTGTCAGCATCTCTGCCGGGCTGGGTCTCGGCTCTGTTGTAATTTGTCGGGCGTCATTTGCCGTGGCGCCATCTGGTGACGGTGTCGTCATCAGCCGGCTGCCGGCGGATGACGCAGCACGCCGGACTAATAGCGGCAGGCCGTGCTGACCTGGCGGGCCCCGAGATGGGCCGCCCGACCGCGACCTCGGGCACTCCACGAGAGCCGGCTATTTTATTGGCGGGGCGGTGTTTTTCTCCACGGAAATCACGCTAAACTGGGGACATTTGCCCACAGGCACAAGGCCGAAAGAGGATGAAATCTGTGTCAATTGGCCATCAGCTGAGACGAAATATATAGCCGGTGTGGTCTTTTGTAAGACGCTTTATCACGGTGAAGGACGCAGAATAGGCCTTACTTTGTCGAAGTAAATTATCCAGACAGCTTCACAGTTCATTGAGATGCTAATAAATAGGGATTGACAGGAGATTTAAATGTATTCGGGCCTCAGGGGACTTATTCTTACCCGTCATTTCAAAATATTATGCCTGCTATTTAGTGATATTTTTTACCAAAAACGTCTCCGTCCAGCATCGAGCTTCTGATTAAATTTTTAATTGCATCGCATTTTTCAGTGACATCCTTTTCTCATCACCACGATCGTTTTCTTTTCTTTTTAAGAATGCTTCCCGACGTCCTTCTCCACTAAGTCGACTAAACCGTAACTAGGACAGCTTCACCAGCCTCCACCCACAACACACGATGAATACGATATATTTGCTGTACTCACAGTGTACGGTGAGCGGCCAGGACTGCTGCAGCGGCGCCGCGCGCAGCTTGTGGTTCTCGGCCTGACACCGCAGCTGCTGACCCAGCGAGTCCATGTCGGGGGTGAACGACAGCACCGACCGGGTGACATTGAACGCCTCCAGGTGCTCCTGTCGATGGGTTGGAAATTCAGCTAAAATAGTTGCACTATTCCGGCTGCAGCTCTGAAGGTTGTAAAATAAGTCGATCTTGATAGAGGACCACTAAAATCTCTCCATAACTCGTCTAGTTTTTAACCAAATATAGCTCATTTTTATTCTAAAATCGTGAAGGAAATTGTCAAGTACTTATAATGTACATATAGCATCAACTTTGTTGCTATGAGGAAAGGCAAGCGTATCAAGCAAGTAGCCTCGATCAAACATTATATTTCCGGTGTCAGCTTGATCACTTGAACCCTTCACAGATTGACGTCGCGCTCGCCCTTTGATGACCCGATACCTCAACTGATTTCATCTCGGTAATCTAATAACCTAATCGCAAGCCAAGAATACTCGTGAGTCCAACGCTTTGATCTATAACCATTCGTGCTGCTCGGTAACCGGAGCGTCGCCGGTTCGATTCTCACCTCACGCGCGTGTTTCAGTTTCTGCGAGCCGAGCCACCAGGTGATGGAGGCGGCAGGTCGCGAGCCGGCGCTCTCACAGCTCAGCTGATAGGTGGTGCCAACTGAGAGCGGTCGGTTCACCCCCATCATGTTCACAGTGAGGGGCCGCACTGGAAGGACAGTGGGGTATCGGTCACGTTTGTAAACACGCTGCCCCGCTGTGGGCTTTGCGACTGGGTGCATATCGGGCGTATTGGCGAAACAACACTGCAGACTGGTATTAATCTTCATATGTGTCCGATGTAGGCGTGAGAACCTGGACAGCTGTGCTGATGTGCAAACAAGCACCAAAAAGAGAAGTAATCAGTCACCATTAACGACTGTTCCGCGTGGTCCTAATCAGTCCGTCCAAACCCTCCACTGAGTAGTGAGTACTCACAAAGCCCCCACGTCCCTCCCTTTCCCTAACCACTCACGGAGCAGGTCGATGCTGAACGTTGTGGAGCGCGGCGGGCTGAGTACGTGGTTGGTGGCCCAGCACGTATACTCGGCACCCAGGTCAGCCCGGCTCAGAGGGCCCAGGGTCAGCTGGTTTCGTACCGCGCCGTCCGCTGAACCCTGCCACGAGCCGTCCAGTAGCGCGTTTCCGCTCCACCAGGTGACATTTGGGGACGGGGAGCCTGAAAGGTCATCGGGGAAGGTCAGGGGAAAGAGAGCCTGACAAGTCACCTTGATAGCATTACCAATGTGTATGTGCGTTTGGAACGGACAATCTAAATGAAATAGTGCGTAAACGAAAACAAGAAAGAAAAAACAAATTGACGTGGGTGGTGGCCGGTGGGGACAGTCTTTGAAGTCTAAAAATGGTAAAATTGGGTGTTCCGTGACCATGAATATGATAAAGCGTTAGTAGGGCTTCCACAGACAGTTGTCCAATCTAAGGTCGAAGGTCAAGTGTTAATTGGACGTCAGGAAGCAGGGGCGTTGGAACTAGAGTTGGAGCTGTTTGCTCGGAAGTTTGAATAGTTTCAATACGAGTAGTTGTTTGTGTTCTTCAAAGTTCAGTATGGGGTATTTGATTGAGCGTTGGAAGACTGTGTCAAACTTCCTAAACATATTTGTATTGCACGCTAGAATGCGCACGATCAAACGGTCAACTCGCCAAAAGGCGATGCGAATCAACCCCTCCTTCAGTCCTTCGTTAGACTATCGATCTACAGAACTTGTTACTAATAGCGTGATGAAAAAAATGTGGGGTTCCAATGTCAGCTGAAGTCAGGTCCCTGGATGGTGAGGGCATGTCCCCGGCAGCCGAGTTCGTATCCCCACTGCTGACCGAACAGGACTAATGTGATGGGTCTCCATGTGGTCGAGGTCGGCTCCCACTCACCTCCGCTCGTTACGCAGGTGATGGTTACCGTTTGGCCCTCTCTGAACGGACCAGCCCTCTCCCGGATCTGTCGTCCCGAGCTGTCGTACAAAACTGGAGGCTCCGGCGGCACTGTGAGACACATAACATTCACATCAGACACGTGCGCATTCTGGCGTCGTTGAATGACATTAGATAAATAATAGCACAGCGCCCAACGCACAAAAGTCAATTGCACAACATAGATTCTTTTCTGTTCTCGTGTTTCAGTGGTATAGCGACTTCTTCACATTGGGTCGATCCATTTAATTGAAATCGTCGCGATTGACCGATCAATATGATCCAGATTATCTCGGCGCGGCGCTTTGAATTTACCTGATCAACCAGTTTATTATCGAGGATGTGGAGAAACACAAAAAGGCCTTTGAAACAATTATAGCTTCATATTGATAAAAGCGGTGAAGCCAATAGTATAAAATTCCTGTCTAACAAGTTTTGTTGAACAAATCTGATTTTAAAAAGATGCATCTATGTCGTTACCGATTGTACAGATGTTATTCTCCTATCGTGATGCCTGACCATTGTTTTCAGGGGCTTCTTCTACGAGCTTTCTTCATTCTTCATCGTTGACAAATTTTGATACTGGATTTATCGATAAATCACAAATGCTTCAATCACACCATACATAACCACAAATGTACCTACTGAAATGTCGCTTTATAAATAAGCACTGTCGTGAGATGATGCTCCACCCTCCATGGCAATGCTTGGAGTGTCATATTGCGCACCCTCCTAAGCTAATGAGTATTCCCAGAAACATTTATGCAAATGTCATTGCCCAATGTCGTTCTTCATCAGCTCCTAGAAATGATTACTGAATCTGCAAGCTCTATTTTCGCCGTTAAATGTAGTTCGACTCTGGAAGTGCAATCCTAGCCTCAAGGCCTGTTGGGTGTGGTCCTCATGTTATACAAGATCTGTCTATTATCGAGAAGAATGATCGCATTATTCTCCTAATTACCTCATGGTCTGGATCTACATCTTTTCATAAAAGTGTTAATGATCCGTGTCAAGAGGCATAACGAGAATGGAGTAGGCATTTGAAATCATTCAACATCTCACTCAGAGAAAATCACATCCACTGGCATCACTCAGAGGAGTGATCGTATCATTTAATAAGAAATTTACCACAATCACCATCATCTATCGAGTGTTTTGCAATAAAATCCAAGAAACCAGTAAACATCCCAAAACCTTCGACCGTATACTTTACCAAATCATTTCTTGGACCCATAAAGTTCGCTATCACTGTCGGGCCATTATTTGCCTGGGGCGATCGGGGAGATACAGCACCATATCCCCGCCCCCGCCTGTGTAAGGCTCGGGGAGAACACTCAACCCTTGTATGTATACGGGGCCCATATCGTTGGGCGGTGCGCCAGCCGCTCGAGCGATGAATCCCATCAGGCTTTTCGTTGCCTTGGGCGGCTGGCGCTCGGCCCGGCATGACTGCGTGAGCCATCAATAACTGATATGAATGACCGATTGCTGACTGCCGAGAGCCGCATATTCTGGCAGATCCCCCAGAAACGGGTCGACAGAAGGGAGCAAGAACAAATCAAATGATCCCCGAAGAAGAACTCGGAATCGGTGGTCGAGTGACAGCGAAATCAGCGAGTTCTCTCACCTAGTTGGCGCTGTTCATTCGCTTACGGGCGACGAGTTAGCACTGACTGAGTGTCATTGATAGAGTCAATCACTAAATTGGCATAGAGTGATCTTCAGCCTCTTTCTTACTGAGACCTTAAAATTTAAGATTAAAGTTGACGCAAAAGAACACTTAACACTTATTACCGGGCAAAGTGACCTTTTCATCGTTACTTTCCCAGTCATGTTGTATTGCTTCTTTTCTCGGCTCACCAAAAAATTATTCCCGATACCTAGAGTGACAAATAACATCACGGCATTAATATCAAAACAACGGCAAATAAGAATAATGTAGCAAAGATAAACAGATTTCTGCCCCATCCCAGCTGTTCGGACTTCGCCGTGAGTCGATGATGTGTACAGTCTGTCTTAAAAGTACCGCGCAAAGTGGCGGTGGATCCATCAAGCCTGACCGAGAAAGGGCCTGTTTTAATTTAAAAGTCACCGACCAATTGACCTAGGGAATGGATAAGGATGTCAGTTGCTTCAGTGACCCAAATTTAGCAGGCCCTTGCTTAGTCAGGCTCGATGGATCCACCGTCACTTTGCGCGGTACTTTTAAGACAGACTGTACATATACACCATGATGTGTGATATCAATAGTGTGGCTCAGGAGCATGGGATGACCGGACACTACTCCGATTAATGAGGGGTGATAATTACTACACGGGATGAGACAGTCGCGCTCCGCAGGCGTCAACGTGCATGACAAAGGAAGAACAATGGACTGGTCTGGATATAATGATTTCCTGAGCAGCACAATATGTGATTGATCTTTTCGATCATGGCGAGGGGAATGGAGCTGCTGATAGTTCGTGCTGCATCCGTTTTATAGGTCGCTAATTATGGACAAAAAAAAATGCATGTTAGCCTTGGGCTATATTCCAGCGCCAGGCTCAACAAGTAACTATAAATGCTTTGCATCGAGCGTTCAGCAGGTAATCAGTCATCAGGCTGATTGATGAAGGGATAGACGCTGAAGAAGCAAAGTTTAGATGCCGGTCGATTTCACGCATAAACGTGAAATATTAAAATTCAGAAACGTTAGTAGAGTCGCAAGATCAAAAGATCTAAAAATAAACAAATATAGGAACGTTGATACCTTTCATGTGTTATTCCATGGATACTACTAACACATCCGGTATTTTTTCATCGCTAAAAGCCGCCGATCCAGTCCGGATCAACCGATCGCCTCCCCAGTCCCCAGCCCCGGCTGGCAACGACCAGCGATGTTTCCATTAACACGCAGCCAAGTCACCCTTCCGAAAAAAACGCCCCAGGCAAGCCGTGTGGCTAATGGCCGCCACAGATTCCTCGGCGGCGTAACAGTGCATCAATATCGCCGCTTCCGGCGCCGCCGCGACCGCCACCATCCGCCGCCAGCGCCGCGAGCGCCGCAGTGCGCCAGAGTCGCCGCCGGCGGCGTCAGCGGTGCGTCTGATGCTGACACGCTCAGTTACGACAGGGTCACTCGGGGCCTGTTTGTCCGTCCGTCGCTGCAAGGGCCGCCGCTCAGGATGATTAGTCTGATCAAGGCGGGCGTGCCTTGTTACCTTGGGTCGCGACAAATGGTGTGAGAGCGAACAAAAACGACGGCCGGCTCAAAACACCAGGCCGCCGGCGATCGAGACAAATGACTAGCCGGCAGCCGGCGTGTCGGCGTTCTGCTTCTGACGAGGGCCGACGGCGGGCCGACAGCGGGTCATCTGTATCGGAACAGACATCTGCGGCCACCGTGACAGCTGTCAACCAGCCGTGACGTCACATCGGCACTGGTCCAGAGCTGCCAAATGATCGACCTACATCTGTACATAGAAACCTTGTTACGAATTATGCAGCTACTCACCGATGACGGTCAGGTTGACGCGTGAGTTTCTGGTGGGGGAGTGGAGGAAGTCGACCCGACACCGGTAGAGGCGCTGGTCGGCCCGCTGAACACCCGTCACACGCAGGTGGGCAGGTCGAGCGTCCGGCTGGAATTGAACCCGACTTCGGTCCAGGCTGGAGTCGACCCAGTGCTCGCCGCGTAGCGTCCGACGACCCCGCGCGTCGTAGCTGGAAACGAAACGAAGCGGTGGTTTATGTATTTTTCACCTCAGTATAAGTTGCTTTGCTAAAATTATCTGGCCAAAGGGACGAGAAAAGAGGTCAGGATTGGTTAGCGTCATTCATGACCAGAAACTAACAAAGATTCGCATATACTAAGTTAGAAAAGCATTTCTAGTTATGAGTGTAAGTATGTATGTAGGATGACTACCGTGAGACGTTTCAATTGCATCTGATCGGGATAACCTGCGGTTTCTTTATCGCGTCTTTTCACAATTATCTTTTATGTTTTTTTCAATGCTTAAGGATTTAGGAAAGGTATAAGTCAAATGAATTATTCATATAACTGGTGAAACCTCAATTTTCCAAGAAGGCGATGACCTCATTCACAACATTCTTTCATTTATGTCTTCTCTCCTGCGATGGGTGACAGAAAACGCATACAAACTGCAACATATTTGCCCCTCGCCACCATTTGTGCCGCGGAAGTAAATGAACATCTACTCTTTGATATAGTGGTAACGTTGCACAATATGTAGCCCTTCAGGGAAATTAAGTCCCCATGCCTGACAGCCGAACTGCAAATGTTGTTTGTCTTCCACCAGGAAGAAAGAGAAATACGAGTGAATGTAAATGAAATGTAAGATGAGAACAAATGAATAACTGAGAGAAAGAGATGGGACATAGGGGAGAAAGAGAAGTGGAGAGGTAAGATGAAGATAGAGTAGGAAGAAAGCAAAAATTACGAGAAGAGATCCACAGAGGGGAGAGGTAGAGCAATGCAGCTAGAGTGAGAGAGAGAGAGAGAGAGAGAGAGAGAGAGGGTGAGAGTGCCGACGTCACATGTAGAGTCCCTCAGCCGACACAGTCTAGTGGAGCTGCGCCGGTTTTCCAGTACCTGGAGAAACGCCTCTCAAACGGATGTGGTTATGCTATTATCCACCCATGGCTCTATATATTTAGATGCAAAGGTTTCAACGAAGGCATGGTCGATTTATAACAAGACGGTCATGATTCTCTGATCTGAAATGGTATATTTGCGGTGGCAGCAGCATCCAACGACTGATTCTAGGGGTTCTAAGGAACGACTTCTAGTAGCTGGGGTTCAGCGGGGTCGCGGCAATTTAAATCCAGCCAGCCGAGCGTGCTAAGAACACGCTACATGCGGGCATTGCGGGATGCTTGACGGCTCAGGCCATCCAAGAATAAGACTATGCGTAGAAAAGCACCTTATGAGCTATGTAAGGGCATTTGAACCGTAGCAAATGTCATGCGTGTCGTCTTATAGCATGTAAGACGGGCTCCGTCATTGGCCATTTTCAGCGTAAGATGAGTCGAGGGAGTGACCTGTACCTTTATGTTATGTGCTTACGCAGATAGCGCTTCCTCTTAGTGGGACGACGTTCTTTGACTGAATCCAATGCTGTCATATTGTTTTGATAACACTCAATTGACACAATATTTAGGTTATCAACACGAAAATCGCAAAAATATTCTTCAAAGATTTCTCGAATGAACAAATATCCAACGCAGTTGTGAGAAAAGACTGGAAGGCAGGTTCATGCCAGGTAAGAACCTTATACAATGTGTGTAAAATGGCGTCAGTCTTATTTTAAGGGAAACGTTCGGTAAGAAGGAGCTAAAACAGTATGAAAAATATGCATTAAAACTGTTATAAGTTATTTGCAGTTTGCACTGATATACCTACTTTCCATTATGTGACAGTTATTACTTGGGTATAGGGGAAGGAGGGTGAATTGCGCCACCTTAAGGAAAAACGCTAATTGTAAGAAAACCACTGGAGATGTAAGCATGCACTGGTAACCATTTTAAAGAGGAACTCATTGGCTACGATTTAAGACCTTCCCAATCAATTAAGAATGTTTCGTTTGCTTCTGACAGCTGCTTTTTCAGAAACATGCAAAAGGGCGCATTTACCAACAACTGCTGTAAATTGCGCCAGGGGGATGGCGCAATTAGAATCCAATTGCGCCCTATCCTTTAACATGGCTAAGCAAAGGAGACGGAATGCATACACTCCGGCATTCTATGTCATTGTGGCTTACTTGAACATGTATTATGTGAATCAAGCTCGATACATAATAAATGTAGATATAAATTGCGATGTTTTTTTGCGCAGGTAAATAACTTTACTTGTGTCCGGTATGGTTGTGAAGTGGAACGACAACGTTTGATGTAACCGACTAGATATATATGAACGTATGCGCCTAGACGGTTATATTTTCAGTTGTTTCTCTCAAAATTATATTTTTTATTGCTTCTACAACTTTTTTGACATCAGTTTTTACTTTGTACCATAGCTGTCACCTCTCACGCCTGTGTCCATGTTAAAAATGCCGTATTTTGTCAATTACACCGGGCAAGCTCATAGCCCAAATGGCAGCTACATTATAAGTTCGATGAGAGAAATAATTTTTGGACTGACGATTGCGGGTTGCTCCCCTGCCTGACATAAAACTCCTTCTTTATTGCAATCAGTTAATGATGCATTCATACTGTCGTGATACAATAACTTACCGCAGCTCGTCGCCCGTATGGAGCACGCACTCGACATGTTGTACCAGTGGTTTTGCTTCAACCGGATGAAGCTCAACTCCAAGAAGACGCAGATGTTAGTGCTAGGTACCCCCTCAATGCTGCGCAATGTACCACCTGTGACGTTGACCTTCAATGGAGATGTCATTCCAGACTCAGGAGTAGTTAAAAACCTCGGTGTTCAACTTGACAGGTATCTAAATTTTGAGGCTCAGATAGACAATATGTCCCATAAGTGCGCCGGTATTCTGATAGCCCTAAGTCACGCACGTCACGTCATACCTAGACCTGTGTTAAAGGGCATCACAGAAGCTCTAGTGTTATCCATTGTGCGCTACTGCATGTCGGTGTATGGGTCTTGTACTAGCACACAGCTGCACCGTGTACAGAAGACCATCAATTTCTGCGCACGTGTCGTGACCGGGAAAAGGCGATGTGATCACATCTCGGGTGCCATATCGAGCCTCGGCTGGCTCACGGCCGAACAGTTGGTGGCTTACCATACCTTGTGTGCAGTCGAGCGGACGATGAAGTCAGGTCATCCTGACTTTCTTCTTAAGACTTTTGGACAGCGAGCCCACCAGCGGCATGATCATAACACCAGGCGAGCGGACTCGTTTACCCTTCCGGCCATCCGTGTGGAGGCCGGCAGGCGGCGACTCTGTTACCGCGGTGTGTCGCTGCTGAACGACAGCGGCATTGAGCCTGGCACTTTGTCTTTCCGGGCAGATGCCAGGCTGTTCGCTGGATCTCTCTGATTCACGATATCGTTTCTGGTGCGAGTGTATGCATGGTATGCGAATGTTTGTAGTCATTTCCGTGTGTCTGTTCCAACTTCCCATTGTATTACCATTCAGACGCGAGTAAGTGAAAAGCCATGTAATCGTGGATCTTATTCAAATAAATCTGTTCTGTTCTGTTCTAGCTACACCATTATTCTATTTGCGCCCCCCTGGCGCAATTGCCATGGGCGCAATTAAAATTGAGGTACTTTTTAATAAAAGTGTAGAAGTTACCATAAAGATGCTGAAGGATGTTTACTGTTTCAGTGAAATATAATGAAAAAAGGATTTTTCTTTCCAAATATCACTCTCCAAATGACACATGTATCGCCTATTTTTATAGCCAACGGTTCAAAATGCCGCAAAAAAGTTAAGAAAACGCCGTAATATCTTCGATGGCGTAATGAGCCTTGCTGATTGGCTTCATCGGAGAGCTTGGGCCATAAAAGGAACTATCCAGTGGTGAAAATAATGTTTTCGAAAACAAAATGCTGAACATGCCATTGAATTCGTGGGAATGTGGGTGGGCGCAATTGGTTAGGAGGGCGCAATACACCCACTTTCCCCTAAGCTGGTTTGTGTTTGCTTATCTATACTGTGAGAAACATTTTTTTTTGTGAGTGATAAGTAATTCCGGTTGTAGTACCTATAGGTGGGTAGGTAGTAGGTATTTAGAAGCTCGTGAGCAAAAATCAGCAGCATTCATAGTTGTTTAACACGCTATGGTAGTGCTCGTAAAAATGGTACATTTTTTTCATATTAGGTATATGAACAATTGAACAAAGCCATGCGTAACACCGTTTACTTACGTGTAGATGGGCGTTCCTCCTGTTCCGTGGTACCAGAGCACCAATCGCAGCTCATCACCGGCCATTGGAGGTGTGACGTCACAGGGCAGCTCAGCTGTCTGGCCCTCCACGGCCGACACGTTGATCAGTCGACCTGAAAGGCAAAACACCACATGTTTATAGCAGCTAAGAACATAATCCAGTGTTGACCACCGAAGTTTAGCGCTACACTGAGCAGCTAATCCTTCAAGCTCACGGAAGCTCGTAACAAACTTCGTCACATAATTTCCTAACAGACTAAGATATTTCAACGCTCATTGGACTTTTATAGGCATTATCAGAAGCATCAAAAGCGTATTTTGCATGTTTGAGAAGACGCTGAAATAAAGTGCATGCGAATGATTTTCGTGCATTGGACTTTTGTGCTGACAGAATGAAGATGTACCTATACAGGATCATATTGATTGCACATCTACCTACTCCATGCACTTGCATCGAGAATAAAAATTGTCTGCATAGGTAGTGATGCTTGTTTCACATTTTGCTTTTAAAACGATGATTTTCGCGCTGTCATAGTTGACATGCGATATGTCCACACCACTGAGTAGGATGATGACACGGCAGCATGCCTCTATCACATTGAGCAGACCACTCTGTAGTCGCGCTGTCACCATCTCCGGCCAGCCGTCGACAGACGCGGCGCAGGTAGCGTCACTGTTCGTCACCACGCGTCACTCACGGCGGACCGAGTCCCGGAGGATGGAGGGAGGGGATGACGGAGGCTGTCACGACATGTCGGCTATGTCGGATGACGGATCAGCTGACACAGGTGGACACCAGCTGAAGGTGGAGGTGACAGCCGTGGCAGATTGCACGTGTCGGAGATGTGAGGAATGAGCGGTGCTTGTTGACCGGATGGGGACGGGAGAAACCTCGTTGCCGGTTGCGCTCGAAGGAAAAGCGCAAAGAGACAATAGCACTTTTTATGTTGATGCATCAGGGTAGGGTGCCTTAGTTAAATGACTATGGCTTTTTGAACAATTTTATTACCTAAATTGTTCAAAAAGGCATGCTCAGGCATAGCATAAGTAGTGAAGCATTTACGTCTACTGGCTTCATATGAGCATGTTTACTCAATTTTTAAACACCAATTTCGCATTCATACAAAAGACACAGTTTGTGATCCATATAAAGTGGCATAAAAGCGCGAGCTAGCAATCACCAAAGCATCCAGCAATTGTCAACATCCGGCAGCGCAACTCAAAAGAACCAAGGCGAAATTATAAATTGCAAAGCAAAGGGAATGAATACAGGTTACATTCGCTAAGCTGAGTACGTTATATGCAACTTTCTGACTGCTACGATACACCACATTTTTACGCTACACATTGCTAAAAACAACATAGTTACATGCAATCAACATCAACAGTCAACACCTTTGGAGAGTTGCACTGGCTTTGCCATTTTCTATTACAGAAGCCAGCAAAAAATTAAATTGCTGTCGCACCATACCTCATCCACAGCAGTCATATTTAACAATGAAATAGCTAGTCAACCGACTTCACCTTACCTTTTCGAAACTTCCCGTACAGACCTAAGAGCAAGCACAAATCAACGCTCACATTCGTACGGGAACAGGGTTAATACGGCATCGACAACATTCCCTGCGGTAGGTGTCCCTTGGCCGCTAGAGAATGAAATCGTTTGGGTTAGAATGACGCATTTATCTAGGAACCTTTCATATCTTACGTCATTGAGATAAACTCGAACAATTCAGTCCCTTCTAAACCATATACCACTGAGCAGCACTGACTTCTCTAACTCATGCTTGGCAGCGTCAAGAGCGATTGTTACCCCTTGGTCCCCGCCTCTGGGTGTTCCCAAAACGTTCACCCATCATTCCCGGCTGTTGCCCCGCCCAGTTCCGGCTGTTGCCCCGCCCAGTTCCGGCTGTTGCCCTGTCTGGTCCCTCCGGCTGCCCCGCGCGGTCCCGGCGGCCGCCCTCCGCCGTTGCCCCAGTAGCCGCGGTGTCCGGAGCGGCGGACCGTTCGATTTGCGGTCGGCCGTCCATCGTGTCCTCTGGTGACTACCTGACGCTGGGTCCGTCCGAGCTGCCGCCACAAATCTCCCGGCCGACGCCCCCGGTGTCGGAGAGGGCGCATCATAATGCAGTGATTCATCACAGAAATAGCCCTCGACATAAGGCCCCAGCCCACACCATGAGAGTCCGAGACGTATGGGGGAATTTCAGGCCCGAATCGCGGTGCTTCGTCTAGTTTAGTGGGCTCAATGCCGTTCTTTATGAGGTATCGACGGCAGTTTAGTATCGTGAGTCCTACCCTGTCGGTTCGTGAGCAAAAATCACGATGACCAATCTTAGAAAGTACGACTCATTTCGCCAATACACCTCAGCGGTAACTGATGAAGTGTGGTGAAGCTAACTGTTCAATAGATCAAGAGTCCATTCGGTCTGCTGACGTCGGCTCCGCCAAGGGTCAGCAGGAGCTTAGGGCCTTAGAACCCGGCAGTAGCAACCAAACACCGGTCACCATCTAAGGAACGGCAGAATCAGCCTCTATCTTATCCTGTCACGGTCGTGCTTGTGTCACCAAACGGGATCTGGCATCCCGTGACGCCCGACACCCGACACCATGCCACCGTGTCGGCCCGTCACCTGGTGTCAGCTCTGTCAACATCCCCTGTCGGCAGAAAGCACCCAACACGGGCCCCGTCAGGCGCCTCCTGGAACCGCCCGGACCCGCTGACGCTGGAGGAAGCACTGCAGGAAGTTTACCGATACGTCAGCGGCCACGCGCCAGGTTTGTCTCGATTTCTATACACGAGTCACATTTGTCCCAGTCAGCGTGTTGCACTGTTTAACTAACAGAAGCTGACGATATTCAAACTGAAGCCTCGAGCATCATCACCTTGCCAGTCACCTGAGCTCGGATGATCACACCATTGTGGTCCCAACAAGTCAGAAGACTTGGGAAAACACGATCACATGTTAGGACCTCAGGTCAGTGGTTATAGACAGCACGTGACGTGCAGGTCAGCAAACTCAGGGTACTCCGTTCGCAGTGAGCGGGCTCCATATTCCGTTCACACACGGGGTCACAGGTCGCGCAAGGGACGCATGCCTCTGGGAGACCGTTGAACGAAAGGTCATCGGGCCACCCCAGACGCACCGGGTCTCTGTGCAAGCTTTTGCAAATGTCACCGGAGCACGTCGACAGCGACCTGGGCGTGGCCTGCGGTGGACAAACCTCAGAGGCAGTGTGCTAGGCTCGCCCTTGGGGACCACGAGCCAGACGGGGCTCAGAGACAGCGCACCGGGTAAGGCTTGAGGTCTTGGGGACGACGCAGTGGGACGCGGGTGGGGAGGAGGCTAGTCCATGACTGTATATCCAGTTTGCCACTCCGTAAACCATTATTTACTGTCGCCGAATCCGTATCTAGACAGATTAGCACATACGAGTAATATAGCATAAAGTATAAACGAATAGGTACTGTCGCATTTCTTTGTCTCATTTTACCTTCCCTTTTATCATGATAATAACGAAGCTAAATTCAGTCTTTGTTGAGCAATTATCTTTGTTGTGCAATAACGCATCAGCAAAACAGTAGGGGAGAGTGGTGCAGGAGGCCCCCCCTTAAGCTCAGTTGCTATTTTTAGACAACTGATAATATTTAAGAGCTAACGTGTGCATGCGCTGTGAGCATGCATCATTTTCCCATACATATTTGCATTCAAAATGAATCTAGGGGGTACACAAACCGTAAACTTTAACATTTTGGAAAAAGTTGCAAAAGGGCTTCTTACACTATGGGTATGGTAAGACGCCCCCCCCCCCCCCTCGGGCGTTTAACAAGGCAAGTCGACTTGTAAAAGACGTTTTGCGAACACAGCTGCAAGGCCTTTTATTTCGAAAAGCTAAGCAAATACGGTGTTATCGAAACCAATAACACTTCCAAAGCGCTCGAACAATGCGAAAACTAGCACAACCAAACGCTGATGACCAACGAAAATTGTACCTATTACCTCTAGAAAAAGAAACAGAAAAAAAAGAAACAAAAACAAACTCCTTGAAAAAAGAATGCCACGCCTGCCGCAGGTGCAGGCGTTTTAGCATCGGGGGCGTTTTTTATCGGGGGGCGTTTTATAATCCTCGAAGGGAGGGCCTCTTAAAAAAATGCAGTGTTTTAACGTCACAATATTTATGGTTTATGAGACATTTGCAGCGCACCAGAACATGGTCTATTCTGAAGCTAACATGTGACAATTTCGATGAGATAAGATTGCATTTGATAGCCATTGTTTTTTCAGATATATAAGGGTGATAAAGATGCATATATCTAGCAAGTAAAGGGGCAAAAACAGAAACAGGCTTACCAAAAGTCGCTGCGACGCACCTGATACCTCAGGTTTCGTGAGTTGTTGTTTCAAGAGGGCTTCTGCTTTACAAGAACATCAAAAAATAAATAACATTATTGGTTTGGTAAAAAAAGCGATGGGGCCTCTTACCGACCCTGGGCGTCTTACACGGATCTCCCCTAATTGTGCGAGTAGAGTAGTCCACCCTGACGCTGATTAAAACTAGGCCTACTTATGGACAGAAAGCACAACCACCAGGGTCACTAGCCGACTCAGGAGTCAGGACGTGCCTTTCTCCGCGGTGGCAGGGCAGCCGGTAAATCGAGTCTCGGCCGCGTCTGGCCGCAAAGTTTGTGGTCCGACAGTGGCCGGTCAGCAAGGGAGACGGTAATTTGTGAACACCGTCTAAATCATTGCTCAGCTCATAGCTCGCCAACTTTGAGACAAAAGGTCACCGACTCTTGCAATATCCGTCAACCGGAGATCCAGGTTGATGGAATAAGGAAGTTGCGGTCGATGGTACCAAATTTTACTCAGCTTTCTATTATGACTTTAACTTACATTTTTCTAAACTTGGCATTTTAGAGAATACAAATAACACATTTGCAGGTAATACTAAACATCAACATAGTTATGCACCTTATGCAGCATTAGATAGCTCAAAACGGAGCCCTGCCCAAAAGCAGATGCGCCATTTTGACAGAAGACCGAATGGATTTAAGTTTCTTTTTCAAGAACGCCACTTTCTTGCTCAAACTGGAAGTTTGAGATTAAGGATATGCAAATAGAAGGGAATTGAAAATTACGCATATAATTCACCGATCAAGAATAAAATGGCAGAACGAAGAGATGATAATCAGACAATAGATGGAGGTGTTGAAAAGAATAAAACGAACGGCGCGAGTGGCAAAGCGATCGATATATTATTCGGTATAAGGTGATTCAGCGGACAGCCAGGCAACCCTGGTAGGCTTCCAGCGACAGCAGGACAGCGTCCAACCGTCTCTTGTCGAGTCAGTCACCGTGAACAGGCCAGACATCCCTGCCCTAGGGAGAGGCCCGACAAGTCTCCAATTTCCCTTCCAGATCCTAACCGCGCCGCCGACCCGTATTCAGCCGGTCCCGGCGCCTAAGCTCGGCGGCGGCAAACCCGGCGCGCAGACACATTAGCGGCGCGGAGACAATCGTGGCGAGCTCGGGCGCCACGGACCGTCGCTTCCACTCAGTGGTGACAGCAGAGTGACGCAGCGGCCACGCCTGGCGCGCCAGGTAAGCTGATATCGGGCCTATTCCCCGCCTCCGCCCGCAGGCTGTGCGCCCGTAGCCCCAGCACTGGAGTTCTTCCGCAAACACTCAACGCGGCATGCATAACACACGCGCACACACAAACATGTCTGGTCCGCTCGGCGTCTGCCGCCGGGGCCTGTCATCGCCGGCGCGACAGCCACCGTCGGCACCGGCGCGTCCTTCCGCTTCCGCGCGCGGCGGATCGCTTCTGACCGACGCCACCGCGTCGCTCGCGCTGTGGCGGAAGTTATTTGAGGCGTGACGTGATGGCCGAGAGTCCTGCCCCGTCAGCTGAGGCTAAGTATAGATCTTTTGAGTTTTTGAGTTTATCTTTTGAGCACGGTCCTGTTGTTTGTCATTTCGGTAAATGGAGACTTCAAGCAGCACAAGCGACATCGCTCAGTCTTCATTTCCAACACCTTGTGTTTCACAACGGCTTTGTTTTTGCTCAATGCAGTTCTCCGTATTTTACCCTAGTGCCCAGATCACGTCTTCCATCGTGCCCCGCATTTTCGGCCCACTTTTGTCTGATCTCCGACGGTTCTCTCGCCTGTCCACATCATCTCTGGCCTCCCAGTCCGTCCGTCATGTCCACTCCTCTCGGCCGTCTCCGGGTCCATCCAGCCACCCCTGGCCGTCCCCAATGGCAGCCATCAGCCGACACGGGGCCGTTTTCAGACCCGCCGCCGCCGCCGTCCGTCCGATGATGCATCTACCCCGGCCGTCAGCAGCGACGCAGTCAGCAGGGGCAAAACAGCGCCGGCAAACGGCATCGCCAGTCCGTGATGGTAGCGAGAAGGAGCGGAGAGCGGAGCGGAGGGGAAGGGGAATGGGCCATATAGAACAGCAATGGGAGAGCGGGGTGAATGAGGAGAGATGAGAGCGCCGGAATGGATGATGAGCGCCGCGGAAGAGCGGTGCGATTTCCCCAA